TGTCATCCTGTAGTATTATGGTCACATCAAGAGGCAGGAAGTACTTAGAGGCTCACACACAAAGATAATAATCAGTGCTTAGCCTGCGCACATGAGGCTAGAATGGGTTGTGTGTCTGCGCGTAATGTCCACGGCCAGACACGTCCTCTCCACCAAACTGAAAGTATACGGTTGACGTAAACCAAAGAGGAGTTCCACCTCACTGGAGGAATGTACGTATGTGTGAGTTCACTCAGTACACAACTGTGTGTAGAGCCACAATACGTTTAATGCACGTAGTGGCAACAGGGATCAACTCAACAAACAGTATTTCTAAAGACAGAAAGTATTCAATCAGTTTCCTCTAAATATTGTTGTCAAATCTAAATTATAAAGGATCTATTCACTGTATCATACAACATGTGAGAAAGACAGCTAGCTATTGGCAGGGTAGAAGGGGAAAGGGTGATTTTTGCTGATCTGAACTACAGTGGCTGCAAAACTACAGCCATAGTTTGGTTTGTCCATTCTATGCTACTGTAGAAACGCGGTTAAACATAGTGGACTCCACAGAGGCGACGGAAGTAACAAAGTAACTATTGTATATACAACTTCATTGCATCTTTTTTTAAGGATAAATTAACAGACACAACACTTTTAAAATTAAATTAGAATTTTTATGTGCACTTGCAGCCTTTTTTTATTAATTGCTCTGCTACAATTAACTGAATGTATAATAATATATGTAATATCTATACTGTAAATAAAAATTACTATAACATTTAAGAAAAATACTTTTAATTCACTGCTGTGTTAGTGGATTAACACATTTACTACAAGATCTTTATTACAAATACAACGCTACAATAGTATTCCAAGTACTTACTCCTCGCATGCAGAGCCATGGTTTGTGCTCACGTCAATAACATCATCTCTGTTACTAAAATAACAGCAGACCGACCTCTAAACAAAAGAAAATACTTCCTTTCCCCTCTATTCTCTCTATTGTTATCATTGTGAAAGAAACTGCTGCTCGCTATATTTATCCAGATAATATTTATACACACAGAGGACAGTAAAGGAGACGCCTGGAGGTCATCAAAACCTCTGTGTACGCCAACCATTGTTGTCAGATAAACAACTAATAAACAAACACCACAGCGTGTTCTCCTCCTGTACACCATATGTGCGTGCAATGTGTTTCACCATGTCGCGTCTATTCTGGATGGGTTCGGCGTTTAGCCAGACCCTTGGACCTCTACATTTCTTCAGCTGATAATGGGAATGACTCGGCCCATTTCCTGCTCTCTTCCTGACTTCTTGTGCCATACAGGAAACTCATAGTAGGTTAGCACTATGAGGACGCAGACAGATGGTAAACTATGGTCTTCTAACATCTGTCTGTCTGCTTAGTTTGCTCTGAGCATGTGTGATTGTCACAAGAAACTGCGGCAGTTAAGAGTGGTACGAAGTATGGTACTGTTTTGGCACTAGCCATGTCCCTCATCAAACAGACGGGCAGTCTAAACAATCCTGAATGTCGCCATTAAGTCTCTCATCAGATCTTTCATCTGAACATCGAGAACATCTAAACCCACTCTGGCAGATACAGCTGCTCTTGATGTTCCATTGCTCCGACTGTGATACAGCCTGTAATAACAAGATCAGATTGTGAGAACTGAGCGCTACAGAGCATATTTTACAAATTATATCATTTCATACCGGGTGGAATAACTGAGGGAAATGCTGCTCAGATGTTTGTAAAGGCACGGCACAAGGATCAGGGATAAAGGTTGAGAATCTGTGTCTCTTGACAAAATGTTTGTCACTTAAATCTTAAATCTACAGTCTCAAATCTTTGGGTATTGTCATGTCTAACATGTGACGGCATTTCAGGTCTGTTAAAATTGCTAAAATTAGTGAGGTGCTCTTCACTCATTCAGTCTTTCATCAATCTGTCATCTGATTCACTATAGACGGGTTCTGTCAATGCTACTGTACATCACTGAATTTCAAAATACAATCAGCAGCAACAATAGAAGGAAGACAGATGGTAGGCTGGTGGGCAGTCAACTCTTCAAGAAGCTAAGCATGCATGCTTAGACTAATCAGCTATCTTTTGTAGACAAAGCAGCATACCTAATTACTACAAGCTGCTTCTGCATCTCTTTGTCTTTGGTTTGGCCTTTACTGATGAAAAATTATGACAAACTTTTTCTCCTTATATGTGGCTCAGATGAATATTGCTTAGGCAGGATTTAAATTAGATTTGTCTTCCATCAGTTGATTTATTAAGAAATGACATATTCCTGTTTCAATGAGGTACTTGAGTTAAAGTTCCAATTGACATTTTGAACTGAAGAGGAAGTTGTTGACCCAGCTTAGCAATACAAAATATTTTACCAGAATGGAGCCCTGTTTAATTGACTCATAGTTTATTTTGCATGCCATCACATGAGTGAATGAATTCATGACCAAACACTGCAGCCGTGAGCTGTTTGCCAGTTGCTGATATTTTACTAGAACTTCCGTTAAGGATGTTTTCTTCCAAACACATGCAACATCTCATTTAGCAGACATCATTAAAACTGGCTGCCGTGTGCCTCTGCTGTGCTTTGGATTTTCAGTCAGTTGCTTGATGTTGAGAGAATGAGGAAAAACAAATTGTATTTTATGAATGAACGTTTATCTAGTATGTGGAGTACAGGATTCACAGAAGTCAGTCAGAGCGGTAACAGCAGTGTTGGGCAAACTGGCACGTTGCCTTGGGGAGTTGATGAGGGGGAAAAAATAAGATTTTATACACAAACACATACAGTAAACCCTCTCTCTCTTTAGAACTCTCGTGTGTGACAAACAGCCGGACCAAATCTAGTTGTTGGTTGCTGTAATCAATCACCCCATCCACACTGGCTGTACTTCCAAAGTAAGACTGGGGATTTTTTTGTTCACAACATTTCAATATTGTGATTTTCTGGACAGTGCATCAATAAGAGGAAATGTTGCACTAACAACACAGAACCTTTGGAATATACCTATTTTATTTAAAATGTATTACACAGAATGAGGACTTTCATTGCCCCCTAGATCTCTTTTATTTTTTGGTTTGTTCTGCACACTCAACATCTATTGCATGTCTGTCCGTCCTGGGATAGAGATTTTCTCCTTCCCTTTTCCCTTTCAAAAACAGTTTTTCCTTACTTGACTAGGACTAGGACAGAATATTTTGAATGGTGTATAGATTGTAAAGCCCCTCCACTGTGGATTTTGCGTCCCTTCACTAACATTGGAATAGCATTAGGAGATCTCTTCATACCTACATACAGGAGGGATGATTACAGGGACCAAAAACTATGTATATGTAATGTACAAAACGCTTTAACTTTGTCTAAGTCTGTGACACACTTGCATATGTTTATTTGCTTCACAGCTTGTTGAAGTATAGGCTTGTAAACCTGGAACTGAATGCTTAGACTTGACCTAAATGTTCAGAATTAAAATTTAGCTGAATACAATCACAGCAAATCCGAACGCTACCATCTATGTGCGCCTGCCATTCTTACCTGGAGCTGGAGCTGGTTAAACCTACGTGACTGTTGTTGTGTCGAAGCCTCATTCAGGGATTTCTGTTGTTTATTTTGTTTAGTCTTTTTTGGGCCTCACTGATCACATCCTGCGCTACTCAAACCGCCATCCCTGTCGCCCCCCCTAAACACACCCTATCCTAGGCATGCGCGTAGTGTCATGCATACAGGAAGAGAGACGTGCTGCTGAAACAATAGAGAGACATTGTGACTACAGCCAGGTTGTAGTGCAGAGTGGTACATAGATGAGACACTATGTCATTTTGGTTACCCAAAATAAATTAACACTGAACATTCGAGGAATCCTTTGTGCTGGTTTATACTGGAACTGCAACTTTCTTTGTACACACATATCTGTTTGTCCCACAGTGTTCTCTAATGTTTTGGGGATTATTGGGATCGGGAAGTTTATTGGGATCCAGATGTTCTCAAAACAATTTTCACAGTTAGTGGATAGGCTACTTACAGTTACATTAAATCCCAGCTTGTGGTTGAGATTCATGTGACAGAAGACCTCAGATATGCTGAGTGGATTTCATAACCATTTGTCCCCAGCAGCCTATTCCAAACATTGGCACTGATCAAAAACATTTGGTTGTCCTTTTGATTATTAGCTTATTAAATGTGTGTGTTAATGTTGGTACTGGTGAATCTCTGCAGAATCTTTAATTAATAAATTAAAAAAGAAAGAAAGAAAACTAAAATTAACATTTAAGTTGAGTTCATTTTCCCTCAAGTCTAATTTCTAATGTAAGATGAAGCCCAGCAGGTGAATACCATGGGCTTGGGGGCTCTTTCACCCATCCACTTCCTCCTCCTCCTCCCTCCTAGGCTCTTTGTCTGACTGCCTGTCTCTCTACGTGACTGGTCCAGGGTCTGCCAGTGCCAGTGGAGGCCGCCATGGCAGCAGATAACACTAACTAGCTTCCTGCCATTACTGCTAATTGCCCCACGGCCCGGAACTGTGCAGACACCCTGGGTGGGGCGTGACTGAGGAGTGTGTGTGTGTGTGTGTTTGTGTGTATGTGTGTATATTTGACAATTTAAAGTTATTCACATGTCTCCAAATGCTACCTACCTGTTTATGTGGCTTAATTTATCATTGTATACGTCCCCCATCCTCGGGAAACATATGGTTGATGTGATGTTTGAGTATTGTTGGTGCATTCATAGTACTGTGAATGGAAAAGGATGAAGGGGAGACAACTGGGGGATGGATGGCAGAGATAGCCAGACAGAATGTGTATGTTGTCTGTGTCTGTCACAAAGCAATAAAGGAAAGGTTCATAATTCAAACCTGGAAGACCTGGATGTGTTCAATGTAAAGAACACAGACACATATGGATGTCACACACACATATATATGTTTATTTTTATTTTTATGGAATTTAGGACAAAGCAACAGTTATGTAAGTAAAAAAGTAAACAGTGTGTGTTATATAATAAAGATGAATATGAAGAAACACAGACAGGGCACCATAATACCATGCACTATATGTGCATACAAGGGTGATGGTGCATCAGCATTCCTGATGACTTTCCTGTGTCATACAAAAAGGGAGGAGAGGATGTTTAGATTTTGCACTGTATGTTATCACTGGTATATCCGCAGATATCCACAGCAGGCTATATGACCCTGGGGAGGGTGGCAGTGGGCTTTATGTATTATCTAACAAGGACATCCATCACGGAAAATTTAGCCATGCAAATGAGACAAAAACATAATACATATATACAACAGTCAGGTTGCAGGATTAATGAAAAAAGTAGCCTATGTAGTTTCCCATAAAAAGGCAAATTTTAAGGCATTTAGGGTGGTATGTGAATAGTTCAGCATTTTGGGAAATACCCTTTGATATTTAGCTTCATATTTACTACAGACATTGGCAAGATATCTAACTCTCTACTAGAAAGCAAATAAGCATATTTCCCAAAATGTCTAACTATTTTTTTAAACTGGGGGAACACATACAAAAACACATGATGTTACATACAGAAACCCCTGGCCCAGAAACGAACCCAGGGTTGTGGCTGTTTTGGAGCTGGTGTGGTTACTGGAACTGTAACTTTCTTTGTACACGCATATCTATTTGTTCATGTTTTTGGGATTATTGGGATTAGGAAGTTTATTAGGATCCATATCTTTTCCAAACAATTTTCACAGTTAGTGGATAGGCTAATTGAGAAATTAAGTTACAGTGACAATGAATGCCAGCTTGAGGTCGAGATTCATGTGACAGAAGAACTCAGATATGCTGAGTGGATTTCATAACCCTTTGTCCCCAGCAGCCTATTCCAAACATTGGCACTGATCAAAAACATTTAGTTGTCCTTGACTGGAACTTCATCGGATAAATGTGAACATTGCTCTGGGCGGAGGAAGTTAACAGAGTTAAGAAGACTGTGTTACAGACTTTAAAAAGATTACAGGATCTTCTAAGGAGGCTATCTTGTGTAAGTGTGCATGTCTACAGTATGTTGATCAGAAGAGGGCATCAAAGCAGGCTAGCATCCTGTGGGCAGCCCAGGGCAGGACCAGTGGGCACAAGACAGCAGCGAGGTGGGTGTCCTGGAGCAGGCACCACACCGTCTGCCTCAATAAATACACATACACACATGCACACACACTCCCAATCCCTCCCCCCGGGCACAAAAGGCCACCATGTAATTGAAGCAGTGTCAGAACTCAGGGGACAGAGTGATGGGAGGGACACACAAACACACACTCAGAGGAGTTATTCTGCAGCATTAACCAATTACACTTAGAAGTCAGTGTAACATTTAAAATGTTGTGTACAATGTAACACTAAAATTAAGGAGAAAAACAATGATTAAAGAGCATGCATTAACACTTTTCAGTGGTTTTAGTCAAATGATTAATAATTGAAATGTATATGTAGGATTTAAAATTTAAAACTGTGATTCAAAAACCAAGCACAAGACAGCTTGTCTCAAATGCAGAATTATCAGCAGTTAATAAGAGTATAAGAATGGTAAATTTTTCTGCATCACAGATGGTATTGAAAACATGTAAATTCACAATGGAACTCTGTAAGAATGCGTTTCTTCAGCTGACGATAGATGGGAATTAAACCCGGGTTGCTGTGGCAAGGACTCCATGACTACATGGGCCACACTACCGCCACATAGATGCATTTCATATTGTGTTGCTATGTTAAATCTGTCCATATTGATGGCCGCTGCTGTTGATCAATTCCAATTCAATAAATTGTTCCATACGTGTGATGATGCAGTAACACATCAAAGAATCAGTTTGATGTTTTATGCCAAAGAAAAACAAAATGAATATAATATTAAATTAAATATATAATTAATATACGCTATGTGTTAGAAATATAAATATATTCACAGTCTTTTGTCGTAATAATTTAGGTTTACTCAGTCATGGAACAAGAGACTGCCGTATCTTACTGGGAGAGGTGCGTGTGTGTGCATGTGTGTGTCTGCATTGAAATGATGTGAGCAAAGGAAGAGAATCTGTTATTTAGTAATAATTTTATTGATTAGATAAATATGTTGAAGTGAAAATGTGCTGATTTATATGAGTAGTATAGACCAATCTGCCAGGAAAAGGAATTTGTAACAAATATGGGACTTACAGTAGGTCTGTAAGAGATCAATTGTTGAGTAAATGTTTTATGGATATTTTAGTAGACTGGTATTTTCTTCACCCAGTAATTTTTTTTTAATAACTCTTAAATTATAGAGATATAGTTAAAGATAAAATAAAAAAAGAAATAACAATTGTCCTTGTCTTGTGAGTTTCTGTTGCCCTGCTCTATCTGTTGTTTGTCCATTTGCGACTCAAATTTGTCAAGGGTCAGGCATGTAATCATGGAGCCATTTAAAGTTAAGAGTCGATTTATATACCAGAGTGTCATTATTACTAATGTTTTAGTATTTTAAAGTTTAGTGATTTTAAAACAAACTTGCATACAAAATATTTCAGTCAGCAGTAGTAAGAAGTTCAGTAATGAATCAGGTTGGTTAAACTGAACGAATCATCATCACTATTTACACGTTGGAATATTTATTTATTATATTTAGATAATGCCAAACAAGACCAATGACAAATTTAACTTTTCTTACGTGACTTTCTGCAGGCTCTAAGGAACCAAACTATCACGACTGAGGGATGCAATCACTTATTATTTTGCCAATGTGTGTTGAAAAATTCCACATAGCATGTGATTCACATCTTAATGTTTATAACACAAATTTGAGATTTTATAACGTGAGATGGTTTGTTGGATGATCCTGGTGATATCGTCTTTCTATAGTGCCTTACTTAAAATAAACAGTTTATTTTTCAGATCTCTAATAAGACTTTTTGACTTTAAATTGATTTATTTATACTTTCAATGAAAGGTTCAAACAGCAGCACCACTGAACAGACTCACAGGTTTCTGTGAATGTACACAGACTCTCAATGAAAAAATTATTGTGACTTAAGACACATAATGTGTTTGTGTGTGTGTCAGTTCATTCCGGACTTTTATTTGTGCACTGATAAGCCTCAGTGCCTGTCACACTTGCATTTTATGTATCCCTGATAATAATTAACAGAGAGACACTTTGACATTGACTAAATGTCTGTTACACAGAATTGTTTTCTTATTGAATCCCAGGTGGAATTAGAAACTAAAGGACCAGTGTGTGAGGTTTACTGCTATCTAGTGGTGAGATTGCAGATTGCAACCAACTGAAACCTCTTGACTCAACTGAGCGTGTAGAACTATAGAGTGTAAAAACACAAAAAGCCCTACAGTCAGTGTCTGGTTTGTCTGTTCTGGGCTAAGAAACACAAATGTTCAACATGGCAGACTTTCTGGAAAAGGACCCACTAGAAAAACAACAATTCTTAATTTCAAGTGACTAAACACTAATGAAAACATACCTCTTAGCTTTTGTTTTTGTTGTGAATTTTTTTTGTTTTTGTTTTTTTTTTAGTATTTTTGGACACCCATTTATTAGAGCTCTGACAGAATAACACCGGCATCAGGTACATTTACACAGGAACTCAGCAGGAGAAAGAGGGGGAAATGTGTGTGTGGCAAGATATCCCAGAGCTTGTCACAGTTAAAATTCACAAAGCCTCTTGCATTGAATAAATTATTTGTTGTGTCGTTGTTCATGCTGCTTTAATTACCTAAGGAGAACAAAGAACCTCATTTGCCTCCACCTGTTTAGCTGAAATTATGATTTCTATAATGTACGTTTAGCAATGACTTGGACAACTCCTGTCAGGACACCAATGTTCCACATTTGTGTGTGTGTGTGTCTCCAGTCACGTGAGAGATGCTAGGGAGGATGCATCTCTGTCTGTTGATGTCTGCAGGTAGGAGACATGTTTGGACACGTTTGCCTACAATCAGGTGTATATTGCCACAGTAGGAAAACGCAGGACTGGTAGGTTAACATGCAGCTTCAGAGCCAAAAACACTGGACAAATTATAGTTTGAAAATCACAAATATTTAGAATTATAGAAACACAATATTGATTAATATAATGAGCTATAATACTATCCAAAGCCATGTGTGCTAAGTGAGCTTGCCTGTCTTTGAATGGGAGAGAACTGTGTGACATAGACAAGTAGCTATACTGTCAGTGACTGATTTTCCATATAGACTGATTGGTTCTGCTTGCCTTCACTGTATGTAAAAGCACTTTGTAATGTTTGCTCTAGAAAGCTGCATTACTTACTTCTATGTTAGAAGCTGTGTTCGTTCTAAAAGGTTGACCTTTCTACTATCCATCTCCTTTACATCAGCTTCATGCCAGACAGGTCGTATGCGCTCACCTTGTCTGAGCTTGTCTGATGAAAACCAACATCTTGTTGTATGCGTGTGGGGTGATGATAGCAGTAAAAGCATACACTAGCATGTGTGGGCTGGAAAAAGAGCTGAAGGTAATGCTCAATAGAGCGTTAAACTTGATGGAAATCGCAGATGCTCTTTATAATGTTAGTCTAAAATATAATTCATGCTTTATTAACTTTTAGTAACATTATCCAACTCATTTATTTAATATGTAATTATTAGTCACTCAATTTGTGAGATATTAAAAGAAGGAAATGAAACACCATAATAATAATAACAAGTTAAAATACAAGAAGCGTAAATATATGTATGATTAAAACACATTAACAGTATAACTGAACAGATGAACAATAAGAACAATAATTTACCTACATTTCTGTTCTGTTCATTTTCTGGTATAAAGTGTTTGGTGAAACTGTGGGGGAAAATGTATACAAATACATTCATATAGCACTTTTCAAAACAGTTACGTCCTTTACAGAACAAGATAAAAAAGCAAAGTCAAGATCAAACAAAAAGATGAATATAAACATAGAATTTTTAAATTAATTATTGCCAAAAAAATCAACCACCAAAACCTAATTATTCATCTTTGAGTCCAAGTTGACGATTTAAGAAATTCCCTGGAGACGTTCAAGAATGGGACAGACCCCAAAACATAAATCAGCCATGGCTAATAGAAACTGACATATGGGGTTATTTTTACTCCTTTTGATAAGCATATTGTCCCTTGATTTGTGACGTAGTAGTTTGTTCCCTCACATATGCAATAACCTATATTTTATTAATGCAGTACAACGCAGTAACAGGTATAATACAGTAATTAAGCATTTCATTATTATGCAACAGTATGTCATATTATTAATTACATATCACTAGTTACACAGTAATTAGTAGGAACAACAATTCAATTACTTACAAGGCCATTAAGCAGTTTTACATATTTACTGTACATTAGTAACATTAGTTATGTAGTGATATTATGTAAGCTAGCAAGAAGTCAGCAATTGTGTAATTTGAATGCATTTAGTCATTTAATCATGTTTAGTGGCAGAAAAATAACAAAAGAAGTCTGATATGGTAGCATAAAGATGCAACAAGCTCAGTTGTGATGATGAATGTTGTAGCAGCATCTCCCTGTTGGCAGTTTAACACAAATAACAAGGATTTGTTTTCTGCACAGGGGGAACCTTTGTAGATGCAGTATTTACAATTCATTCATCAATTCATAACTTGACAAAAGTGTTAAAAATGTTAAAAGTCAATGAAATGCTTTTAGTCATATTCCTAATATTAAAACCAAAAGTAGCATTTAATCCTTCCCTCTCTTTCTGTGCTCTGGCTGTGGTTCAATCCAAGCTCCAAGGCAGAGAGAAGCTCTCGTTCTCCAGATCTTTGCGAATGGCTGATGTGAATTTGGCCTCTTGCTCTGAGCTGAAATGGTTTTTCCAATCTCCCACAACACCTAACATAACAAACACACACACACACTTTCTAATGATAAAGAACAGAAATCTAAAAATGCAATAATTTTCATAGAGAATCCATTAACATCTTACTCCTAATAACCCAGTTTGAACATCAGGGTTGTACCAAACTGACCTGATCAGCTTCAACCAGGATGACGTTTCAGACAGACAGACAGACAGACAGTTAAAGGCAGCACATGGACCCTCACCTTTCCTAAGGAATGGAGATTTGTCACTGTCCATATATATCTTTGGGACCAGGCTGAAGTTGGACATGTTGTTGGTCTTCATGGTCTTGAAGGAGCAATGCTCTGCTATCTTCTGGATGACTTCCTCACTCAGTTTACGGCCCAGGAAATCTGACATCCTCATGAGAGCTGCAGGAAGGTCCTAAAAGAGGAGCATGTGGACACGTTCTTTCAGGTGTTTGCCTTCATCTTATGATGGTCACTCTCAAATTAAGAACTTTCTACATGATTGGTATGATGAGGGTCCATTGTGAAGCCCTGGGTGTCGAGCTCAAGTTTGACAGGTAACATTTAAGTAGCATTGGTATGGCTTTATTAACAGCTAGACTGTTAAGACCACTACCGTGGTCTACACAGGCTGGTTGTTAGTTGTAGCCCTAAAGTAAACACACACACAGAGTAGGACACAGACTGAAACACAATATGTGTTTGTTGAACAAGAACTTTAATGCAACTTTAAAACGACTTTTACCTGAACCATTTCTTCATATGTGATGTACATTATTCTGTCTCCCAGGTCTGTATGTCTCCAGCCCTTCACATGGTCTGTCCATTTTCCAAACAGCACTGCAGACAATACGGACATTAGACCTCAGTGTAAATGCAGTCAACCACTGTTCTATTTTTGGCAGTAATGATAAAGATGACTTTGCCTTTCACAGACTATCCACATCCAAAATCTGTTCATGTTGAACTTCAGCAGCTTCTACTGCTGAAAGTCATACATTTCCTCTACACTCTATGTAGGATGAGACTTCTGACCTCTGCCCTCAAGGAATTTGTCCATGAACTCGTCAAAGGTTCCTGGATCCTGGAGAAACCCAGCCATCTGGTGGAAGTAATATGAAGAAACCATGACATCCATGGGGTTCCTCATGACGTAGATGACCTATGGCAGAGACACAAGAGACTAAATGAATAATATACAAGTTGAAATGTCTATTAAATATGAATTATGAGATGACACCATGCTTGAACAAAGACAGTATGAATATAAAATGCTATTCTGTTGTCACAGAAACAGTAAGGAAATTAAGTAAGGAATAAAAAACAACAAGAAGCTCCACGATGTTCCACAAGATATGGACCCAGAGGTTGAGGGAGATTCTTGCTGATGACATACTTGCACATTAGACAGGTTCAAACAGGAATATCTCACAAAGCCGCCACCCATTTACCTTAGCTTTGGAGGCATGAAAGGAGCGAGGCATGAGGCGGTAGGGAAAATGTGTAACCAGCGCCCGTGGAGACTTCAACTGATCCACAACCACTGCTAATCTTTTCTCCTCCAGCCAGGGAGCCCTGTCCCAGTTAGGGATTGTTTGGATCGGAGTCAGATCCCCATCATTAAGCAACAGTGGGAGGATCTCCTGCATCCAGGCTGTACCTGCGGACAAGAAGTAACAAATGAGACTGCTGCAAGTAACGAATGAAACATTATATGTTTAAAATCAGGCATCTTCAGAGTCTGACTGTGAGTTCCCAATCAGACAAAAACTTGAATCTTGGGTTTTTTTTGCCCACATTTGTTTACATTTTGGCAAACTAGCACAATTAAAAATGTGTGGAATGTGGAATTAGCTATTAGTTTGTAATAATGTACAGAGAACTATCTCTGCATTATGTTGATACTGAAGAAAACTTAAAATATGATAATGTCAGGTAAGTTATGGGGTTAAATGAAACATATGAGCTGAGCAATGAGATATTGACGCCTTCACAAAGCAGTTCCCCCACAGTCTAAAGGGAAAATACTGTCTGCAATAGCGTTTACAAGTAATTTCTAAAATATTGTGAACCTTGGATTTGATTTAGAAGCAATAAAAACATTCTATGAGCCAATGGACACAAAAAGTGGCTCCCAAAGACATAAAGTCTGATGCTCTGATAAAAATCTAAGAGGGACTGTTGTCATAACTGTCCAAAAACTGAAACGGGTAACATTGAGGCTCCTTAGTTTTCAACCGATTGTATGCTGGGACAGCCTCGGTTCCCATGGTCCTGAATAGGAATAAGGAGGAGATATCAGTGAATGAACAAAAGAGCACATTCCATTTCAAGCAGACCTCATGTCTCATGGGCCACACAACAATATGAAATGTTCCCCCGACAATGGAAACAGTTCTCAGTCTGCAACGTTTTTTGTTTTTCTGTCTTTCTGACCTGATTGTAAAATATGGATGTTTCTGCTGAAATATCTACACATATTTATTAAAAAAATATCCTTAAGCCATTTGGAAATAATGTCAGAGTGGGTCACCAATGTGTTTAACATGCAAGGAAGACTAATTGGGGTTAAAGAAAATCACATGGCTGAGCTTAATTTAATTTAAAAGTGTAGTGAGATCTCTCATTCACCATCACTACCATTCACATGCGGGAAAATGACAGAAGGGTCTGAGGAGTTGATGCAGTGTTAGTCTATAAGCAATGCCAGACAATGGTCGGACACACCTTACCTGAAACAATGCTCTTTTTTTTATATCTAAACTTTTTTCCACCCTGTTTGGCAACAAAAGCCAGAAGAAAGTCCTCAGTCTCTACTGAGCGTTTAGTGTAATAGTTTCTGAGGCAGCTGCCATGCTGTGGGCGTGTAACAGTCAGTTTCATGTGGAAAACCTTCCCATGTGTGTACTTGCTGCAGTGGGGTTGATTAAAGTTGACACTTATACTCCACTTTTCCATGCTTTTTTTTGCTATTAACGTGGGCAGAGGCTCAACATGTTGCCAAGGATAGAAAACGATTCTGGCAGCTGATAGTGGCCTCATGTCCCACAGGGCACGAAGAGGATTAAAGAGTTACTTGCTGACCTCTAATGGTTCAACTTGTTGCAGTGATGTACATTTACACTTGAGGGCAGCGTGACATCCCTGTTGGGTGTGTAACAGGTTAAGTTAGTCTTTAAGTTTGTATAATATTGAATATCTTTGGGGTTTAGATTTGTTGGTTGGAGTTTAATGTCGAAATTAAATGCCTTTTTAACCCTTTTGGATCACATCCCCCCGTTATATTGTGCTCCAATTTAACAATATAAAGCTCAATGTGTTCTTATATTAAAATCAAAAATAAAACTATATATATAAGAAAATTATATATTTTATAGAGAAAATATTTAGTGGCTTTTCCCTCTAATGTCCCAAATACAATAAAACACCAAATACCATCAGGCAGACGGAGGCCAGTTTGATGAGTGGTTGCCGGGTACAAGGTGATTTATATGGAGTTTCCTGATGGACATACTTAAAGTAGCTAACTGACGATAACTGTCATGTTAGCTGTTGTCAACCATGCCACCCTTAGGTAACTCAGCCGCAGGGTGCCAGGAAACATTTCCATTTCCTGGTGATGCCATATTTTGCTCTGGACATTTTAATCTACTTCCTGATCTTCACAATATGTGATAAAGGAGCCTCCTCTCTCTGTGCTACATACTAGAGCATCTGTAGGTAAAATGGCTCATTTTAAAAGGTAAAAAACATAATCATTCTAATTTTCAGGTGTTTATACACAAATGAAAACATACCTATGAATATTCAATATCTGCCAATAGATCCTAAATGTTCCACAGTGGACCTTTAAGGAGTTAATAATGAAGAGAGTGAGTATAACTGAGGTGTAGTAGAGTAAATCTCAGTCATATAACAAACATTTTTGAACCTGGTTTTGGAACTTTTTCACAATAAATACATCAGGACTTTCTGTGGGCATTCAGCTGGAGCCCCAGTTCACTTTTGCCCCATTGACAGCTGCCCCCGCCCCTCACTGTTTGGAGTCTCAACAACTGCGAGGCAAAGTATATAAAACATAATATAGGCTGGAAGAAGGTGCCGTGTGCTGACAGAAAGGGCACCAGGACCCAAATGAGGCCAAAAGTAACATCCCTATTAGTTTTTATAGTAAAGCAAACACCAGCTGCAAACACTGACCTGACTTCGGATATGTGACAGTCACGACGTCTTCGTCTTCAAACGTGAATTCCTGCACAAACTTCAAGCTCTCTAAGGAGTGAGTCTCTTTGGGAAGCAGAAGGCCATGATAGTGCAGGTACATCTCTTCACCAGACATTATGTTGCGAGGATTTTTAAGCATCTGTAAACACGGCTAGGGTGTCTCTACTGCTGCGTTCAAGTCATGTGGGGAAAGTGTAGCTCATAACATAATATGCGCACAAAACAGATATATACTTCATGTGCCCCAATTCAGAGCTTGTAAAATAATCACACACACACACATATATATATATATATATATATATTATTATTATTGTTATTATTATTTTCTTGTTATTGATTTGCATTATTCTGGTGATTTTGTATGATATTACAATTACTTCTAGTAGTTTGCTATTGAAACACAAATGCTTTAAAGTTTCGCATCTCTTCAGTAAATAGCCAATTATTATTATATCCGAGCCAAACGAACCGATAAATGCACAATAACCACTTTAAATATAACACTTCAATTTTACAACAACAACCACCAACTTTCCAAAAGGGACCTGAAGGTAGCACAGTACTTCCTCCTGCTCGGTGCCTGGTAATACCATGCTCACACACTGATCTCTTACCTACGGTGGCCCTGAGGTGCAAATGACAACAGCAAATCAGAAAACACAACAACAAAAGAGAAAAAGCAGAAAACACAACGGGCAAATCAACGTACAACGGCATAAATGCAGTGAAAGACACAACAGGCAACTAAAGAGACGAATTGGAGCATAACACAACGGCAAAAGAGAAAACCACAAAAGAGAAACCACAAGGCAAAAGAAAACGCAACACAAAAGAGAAACACAACGGCAAAAAAGAGAAACACAACACAAAAAAGATAAAACAACCAAATAAGAAACACAACAGCAAAAAAAAAACAACTAACTAATAGAAATAACAACGACAAAAGAGAAAACACAACTACAAAAAAGGAATAAGACCAATGGCAAAAAGAAGGAAACATCATAAGAATAAAAAAATAAAACAGAAACATAAGGCATGCCTTCAAAACGGAAAAAGGTATGGTCTCAATCGGGCGACTATGAATCGTCGCTGATTGGACAAAAGACTGGTCCGTCCTTTTGAACCGGAAAGACAACACCGCCAGACTTTTTTTTTTTTTTTTTTTTTAATAAATTTTTCTATATATCTTTACTGATACAACCAGTTAATGAACATATCAAGCGCCAGAGCCAGCGGGAGTTTCAGTTTTTTTTTGTTTATTTTATATAATTCTTTATTAATCTTTAAAAATAAACAATTCGTGTCTTTTATTTATAGTAATACACTTATTCGCAAAGTGTAAAGAGATGCCAGGTGAATCATTATCCAACATTAGTTCAATGCCTAATCCTCACAATATAGAACATTCTTTATCTATTTTAGTGCTTCTAATTACTAATAAATTCGGGGCAATTGAAATAATATTAATAATTAACATCTCAATAATTAATAGTTCAAAATAAATATATATAATAAATTTAGAATTAAATTAATTTTGTGTTTCATAAGGGGATTCAATCAATTTTAACTATATTTCAGTGGAATTTCTTTTAAGTTGTATCTTTATATATTTTATCTTTGTGCCTTCATTTCTGTTAGAATTTTTAAAGATTTCATTTCATTCATGAAGCAATAAATTTGGGTGATGACTTTCATAACTCTATTTTTCTGGATGAAAAATGGGGCGACCCTCACATATGTTTCAGAAGAACTGGAA